TGTGCAATAATTGTTTAAACAAAATCAGGCAGGTGCATAAATTTGGGCACCACAAAAAAAGAAATGAAATCAATATTTAGTAGATCCGCCTTTTGCAGAAATTACAGCCTCTAAACGCTTCCTGTAGGTTCCAATGAGAGTCTGGATTGTGGTTGAAGGTATTTTGGACCATTCCTCTTTACAAAACATCTCTAGTTCATTCAGGTTTGATGGCTTCGAGCATGGACAGCTCTCTTTAACTCACACCACAGGTTTTCAATAATATTCAGGTCTGGGGACTGAGATGGCCGTTCCAGAACGTTGTACTTGTTCCTCTGCATGAATGCCTTAGTGGATTTTGAGCAGTGTTTCGGGTCGTTGTCTTGTTGAAAGATCCAGCTTCAGCTTTGTCACTGATTCCTGGACATTGGTCTCCAGAATCTGCTGATACTGAGTGGAATCCATGTGTCCCTCAACTTTGACAAGATTCCCAGTCCCTGCACTGGCCACACAGCCCCACAGCATGATGGAACCACCACCATATTTTACTGTAGGTAGCAGGTGTTTTTCTTGGAATGCTGTGTTCTTTTTCCTCCATGCATAACGCCCCTTGTTATGCCCAAATAACTCAATTTTAGTTTCATCAGTCCACAGCACCTTATTCCAGAATGAAGCTGGCTTGTCCAAATGTGCTTTAGCAAACCTCAAGCGGCTCTGTTTGTGCTGTGGGCGGAGAAAAGGCTTCCTCTGCATCACTCTCGCATACAGCATCTCCTTGTGTAAAGTGCGCCGAATGGTTGAACGATGCACAGTGACTCCATCTGCTGCAAGATGATGTTGTAGGTCTTTGGTGCTGGTCTGTGGGTTGACTCTGACTGTTCTCACCATTCGTCGCTTCTGTCTATCCGAGATTTTTCTTGGTCTGCCACTTCGAGCCTTAACTTGAACTGAGCCTGTGGTCTTCCATTTTCTCAATATGTTCCTAACTGTGGAAACAGACAGCTTAAATCTCTGAGACAGCTTTCTGTATCCTTCCCCTAAACCATGATGGTGAACAATCTTTGTCTTCAGGTCATTTGAGAGTTGTTTTGAGACCCCCATGTTGCTACTCTTCAGAGAAAATTAAAAGAGGAGGGAAACTTACAATTGACCCCCTTAAATACTCTTTCTCATTATTGGATTCACCTGTGTATGTAGGTCAGGGGTCACTGAGCTTACCAAGCCAATTTGAGTTCCAATAATTAGTTTAAAGGTTTTGGAATCAATAAAATGACAACAGTGCCCAAATTTATGCACCTGCCTGATTTTGTTTAAACAATTATTGCACACTTTTGTAAATCCAATAACTTCATTTCACTTCTCAAATATCACTGTGTGTGTCTCCTATATGATATATTTAACTGACATTTTTTTATTGTAACAACCAACGAAAATAATGACTATTAACAAGGTTGCTCAAACTGTATGTGCATATGTGTGTATATATACATACTTTCTAATTGTGGATGGGATTGTAAATGTCATTTAGGGTCCCCCTTAAGTCTGTAAATGGCTTAGCCAAGACTTCAACTGTTGCAGCTGGCACTGCAGATGTTCAAGGCCAAGTGTGAAACACCGGGAATGAGAATCAGCGCCTCCAAGTGCAAGACCTGCAAAATGGTGATGTACCCACAGAGGGTCAGAGTCACTACCCCAGGTGGAGAGTCTTGTTCACAAGTGAGGGGAGGGAGGAGCATGAGGCTGACAGACAGGTTGAAGCGCCGACTGCAGTGATGTGGACACTGTACTGATCTGTTGTGGTGAAGAGAGAGCTCTGTGATCCTGTTGTCTGTGGTGTCACCATTCACACGATGAATCAACGTTCAGTTGTGAGTATTTGTGGTCCTTGACATCCCCCTACAGTTCATGATCTGGAGTTTTTGTAAAGGTGTTGAGTGTGGCTGTATCACTGTGCTCACTGACAGCACAGAAACATCATTTGTTTCATTAGTTCTCCAGGCAGCTGTCTGTACCAGTACATCTGGTAATAGCTACTGCCCTTGATATGGCTGCAGTGTATAGTTGCATCTTCATTCTCTTTTTTCCATAACATGGAAATCTGGTTGGCATCACTTCCACAGGTTTGACCTGTATGTAATGATAAAAGTTATAATTTCAAATATTGTTCATTTCTACTTGTACAGCATTAAAGATTTTTAGTAATCCAGAATTTCCTGGAACAAAATAACTGTAAGTTGAAATAAATTGTTTCAAAACATTAAGAAGTTTGAGTTGAATTGGTACGATGAATCCACGTTCAGTTGTGAGTATTTGTGGTCCTTGACATCCCCCTACAGTTCATGATCTGGAGTTTTTGTACGAGTGTTGAGTGTGGCTGTATCACTGTGCATACTACAGCACAGAAATACAAGCCTTGATCTCCTGGCACCAAATTCTTCACTATCAGTGTCCCACTGTGAGCGTCAGTCTTGTGGCTGAGAATTTTTCATCCCTGAAGTCTGGTTCAAAGTCAGGTTGGGAGTTTGCAGTAGTAAAAACCATTTGTTTCATTAGTTCTCCAGGCAGCTGTCTGTACCAGTACATTTGGAAATAGCTACTGCCATAGGTATGACTGCATTCTATAGATACATTATCACCCTGGTTTTTCCAGAGCATGGAGGTCTGCTTGACTTCCCCCCCATCAGTTAGACCTGTGTGTAACAATAGAAGCGATCATGATCAGTTGTTCATTTCTACTAAGCATTACATATTTTTTGTTATCCTAAATCTCTTAAAACAAAATGACAGACGATTAAAATAAATTGTTTAAAAACATGAAATGGTTTAAGTTGAATTTGTATTATAAAGTTTATTGGGAATTACCTGATACCCACAGCAATAAGAATAAAAATATGAGGCGACGTCGTTTGCTCATGATGAAGATGTCCACGTTCTGTTTGGCATGACCTGTTTGAGACAGTTGTATGAAGAGTTGGAGGCGGGAGTGTTGCTCAATGAAATTGTCACTCCGGATGTAGATGCAAGCATATGTGATGCTGCTGGTCTGCCTACAGGTCATGATTTCCATTAACAACAACATATGATGACTGAGGAAAAGTCTGGTTTGAACATTTTATTTTTTTATTGTTTTTTATTTTTTTATTTTCTCTGGCTGACAATTCTTGACAAGGAAACTGGTCCAGCTTGATTATAGGAATTGCATGTCAGTGTTCTGTCAGTGAACATAATTAATTTGTTGCTGCTTTCACCAATTAAAGCAAATCTTAAGGATTTAATTGAGCCTGAAATGTGACTTCAAAGGGGATCAAACTTGTTCAATTAGTCAGTCTCTTTTTTTCAAAGTCTAGATTTAGTTGCAGACTGGCAGCAGGTGTTCAGATATGAATCTGTCAGAGAGATTAGAAGAGGTTTTTGTATTGACTTCAGTGGAATCTGTATTTATGTGCTGACTAGCAGCACAGAAATACACAGCACTGTCAGTCACAGAAACATTAGAAATGGCCAGGTTTCTGCTGTCACAAAGTTGTGGAAGTGCATGAATCTCAAAGAGCTGTTATCCTATACTGTTTTAGTTTTTTGCAGAAAAAACAAGTAATGCAAAAGGTCCTGAAATACTGAACGCTCTAGATGGGACCTTAGTCAAAGTCACCTCTCATCCATAGCAGAAGCATCAAACAATAGAGGTGAACGTGTTTGATAATGTCTGTGTTGTAGTAGTCTTTGAAACACGAATAAATGACAGTATGAATTTATATTGCTATGAAGGGTTGCAGGTGGTTGTGTCACTGCTCTGTGTGGAGCTCTGTCATCTTGTTATCTGTGGTGTCACCTTTCACACGATGAATCCACGTTCAGTTGTGAGTATTTGTGGTCCTTGACATCCCCCTACAGTTTATGATCTGGAGTTTTTGTACGAGTGTTGAGTGTGGCTGTATCACTGTGCATACTGACAGCACAGAAATACAAGCCTTGATCTCCTGGCACCAAATTCTTCACTATCAGTGTCCCACTGTGAGCGTCACGCTTGATGGTTGAGAATTTTTCATCCCTGAAGTCTGGTTCAAAGTCAGGTTGGGAGTTTGCAGTAGTAAAAACCATTTGTTTCATTAGTTCTCCAGGCAGCTGTCTGTACCAGTACATTTGGAAATAGCTACTGCCATAGGTATGACTGCATTCTATAGATACATTATCACCCTGGTTTTTCCAGAGCATGGAGGTCTGCTTGACTTCCCCCCCATCAGTTAGACCTGTGTGTAACAATAGAAGCGATCATGATCAGTTGTTCATTTCTACTAAGCATTACATATTTTTTGTTATCCTAAATCTCTTAAAACAAAATGACAGACGATTAAAATAAATTGTTTAAAAACATGAAATGGTTTAAGTTGAATTTGTATTATAAAGTTTATTGGGAATTACCTGATACCCACAGCAATAAGAATAAAAATATGAGGCGACGTCGTTTGCTCATGATGAAGATGTCCACGTTCTGTTTGGCATGACCTGTTTGAGACAGTTGTATGAAGAGTTGGAGGCGGGAGTGTTGCTCAATGAAATTGTCACTCCGGATGTAGATGCAAGCATATGTGATGCTGCTGGTCTGCCTACAGGTCATGATTTCCATTAACAACAACATATGATGACTGAGGAAGCTGGATTTTAGAACATGTTGTATTTTTTTGATTGTTTTTTATTTTTTTATTTTCTCTGGCTGACAATTCTTGACAAGGAAACTGGTCCAGCTTGATTATAGGAATTGCATGTCAGTGTTCTGTCAGTGAACATAATTAATTTGTTGCTGCTTTCACCAATTAAAGGAAATCTTAAGGATTTAATTGAGCTTCAAATGTGACTTCAAAGGGGATCAAATTTCATCGGTTAGTCTGTCATTTTTTTCAATGTCTGGATTTGGTTGCAGACTGGCAGCAGGTGTTCAGATATGAATCTGTCAGAGACATTAGGAGAGGTTTTTGTATTGACTTCAGTGGAATCTGTAGTACTGTGCTGACTAGCAGCACAGAAATACACGGCACTGTCAGTCACTGAAACATCAGAAATGGCCAGGTTTGAATATTTTTGGCCATCTCCATCAAAGCTGATTTTCCCTTTGACATCATCCTCAATGTTTGGAAATTCCAGATTTAGGTATCCCAGAAATTGTAGGACTCCTTTTTCATCTTGCTTGTACCAGAGAATGACCTGATAACCTGGTATGCTGTGTGAACATTTGATTTCACTTTCAACAGATTCACCAATTCTCTTAATGATGGATGGAGGTGTTTGGTTGGCACGTTTTGTGTCAGATGCCCCTGTGGAAAAGCAAAGAAATGACATTAAATACAGAAATCTTTAACAATACATTATGTGTTTTATCATTAGTATTGTTGTTTTCCCTACCTGTCATTTCTGGCAAGTGAAGAAAACAAAATATAGAGACCACAGCAATCATGTCAAACAATTTAAGCTATCTGTCCTTTTGCGTATTGTCAGTTCATCAGCTGTGGATGACAATAAATCGCTGGTAACAGATAACCTGAGGAGGTGTCTGCAGTTGTTTGTGTCATTGCACGTCATAGCTGAGCAGCAGAATCTTCATAAGACAGTCTGTGAAAGTGATGGTTTCATTTATTGAACTCTGTCTCCACCTAGTGGATTAAATGGAGTTGGATGCTGTGGCTCAGACTTTATACAGCAACAGGCTCACAGTGTGGCTGATTATTAATTTAGCTAAATCGATTCCTTTTATTCAGTTTCAGTTAGCTGGATCTAAAACGGTAAACATGACCAGAAGTGAGCACTTTAATTATTACACGGTAGAACATTTACAGTAATTCTGAGTACTTCTTATTTTCTCTATTCATACATTTAGTCACAAATATCATACATTTGTCTTTTTGTCTTGTACAATTAAAAGCTATAGAGACATGTTTTTGATTTATAAAGTCAGAATATAAAGAATAACTGTCACAGATAAAAAGCTGCAGGTGCATGTATTGTGTGGTGGGTACCACAGTAGAGGAGATTAGTTAAAACTTTGCACTGACAGTGTGCTGGGGTTTTTGTTCAGCTACTTGGTGCATCTGTATCACTGTGTTTGCTCACAGCACAGAAATACAAGCCTTTATCTGTAGGCTCCAGATCCTTCACTGTGAACGTCCCAGTGTAAGCGTCAGGCTTGGTGGCTGCGAATTTCTCCCTGCTGAAATTTCCAAAATCATGATCAGGTTTTGCTGTACTTGTGAACACAACGAGTTTCATCGTTTCTCCAGGCAGCTGTCTGTACCAATACATCTGAGAATAAGTATAATCCTTTGTGTGGTTGCAGTTTATTGTTGCATCCTCATCCTGTTTTTTCCAAATCATGGAGGTCTGGGTGACATCACTCCCATCACCTGCGAGTTTAACAGAAGATATTACCGCACGCAACCTTTTATATGTAGCACAGTTTTACATTGAAACACTCTGAAAACACCTGAATAACTCTCGGTGATGGCTAAAACATGGAAATATTGCTAAACATGTAAATCACCTGAAGTCCTCTTTAAGATGAAGCATAATCCGAAGACAAGCTGTTTAATAAAAACAATATCCATGTTCTACTTGAGAGAAGGTGTCAGCATGTGAAGAGCTGCAGGTGAGACTGTCACTACAGTGTGTGATGTGATCCCATGAGCTGCTCTATACATATCATCATTTTCAGTCTAGCTGCAGGTGGGAACCACGTGGCACTTTATGTTGACATACAGAGTTGCAGGTGGGAGTGTCACTGCTCTGTGTGGAGCTCTGTCATCCTGTTATCTGTGGTGTCACTATTCACATGATGAATCAACGTTCAGTTGTGAGTATTTGTGGTCCTTGACATCCCCCTACAGTTCATGATCTGGAGTTTTTGTACAGGTGTTGAGTGTGACTGTATCACTGTGAATACTGACAGCACAGAAATACAAGCCTTGATCTCCTGGCACCAAATTCTTCACTGTCAGTGTCCCACTGTGAGCGTCAGGCTTTGTTACTGAGAATTTTTCATCCCTGAAGTCTGGCTCAAAGTCAGGTTCGGCGTTTGGGATAGTGTAAACCATTTGTTTCATTGGTTCTCCAGGCAGCTGTCTGTACCAGTACATTTGGTAAAACTCTACATTCTTGGTATGGCTGCAGTTTAGAGTTGCATCTTCACCCTGGTTTTTCCAAAGCATGGAGGCCTGGTTGACATCACTTCCATATGTTCGACCTGTAACGATGCACATTATTATAGGTTTCTTTTTTCCTTTCTACTATTTTTAGCATTAAAAAAGTGTTTTGTTATCCAAAATTTCTTAATAACTGTCAATTTAAATAAGTTGTTTCAAAATGTGAAATAGTTTGAGTTGAATTGGTATAATAAAAGAGTTTACTGCGAATTACCTGATACCCACAGCAAAAAGTTTAAAATGAGGCAGCCTCGTTTGTTCATCATGTTTTTTACAAGACCAGTTTGAGACAGACGTGTGACAAACTTCTGGTGGGAGTGTTGCTTAGTGAAGCTGAAGTGTAGAGTGGAGTATATATACTGTTGGTCCCCCTACAGGTCATCACTTCCAATAACAATACAAGATGAGGGCTGAGGAAAACAGATTTTAGAATATGTAGCATTTTTGATCATTGTTTAAAAGTTCAGATATTTTAAATTATTAACAAGAAAACGGATACAGCTTGTAAACCATATATGCATGTTTGCTTGTTTTTTATGGAGGGTAATTAATATTATGTTTCTTCCAATGATTATAACAGCTATTAAAGTTTGAAAATGAGCCAATAACACATCATCTTAGGGGGTCACAATCTCTGTTTTGTTTTGTCTGTACCAATACATCTGAAAACGGCTAACACCCTTTGTATGGCTGCAGTTTATTGTTGCATTATCATTCTTGTTTTTCCATAGCAAACGAGATCTGGGTGACATCACTCCCATGAGATCAGCCTGTGTGTAATGGTAAAAGTTATCATGTGAATGTGTTAATTTTCACAAGCATTCACGATTATTTGCCATCATAAAGCTCTTGAAAGAATTTAAATTATACATTCAAGTTGAAAACATAAATTATATTAATATGGATTTACATTATACATGTTTTTTAATTACCTGATACCCTCAGCAGTCTTGTTTCTTTGTGATCAAGTTCTCAGTGTTCTGTTGGAACAAAACTATTAGAGGTGGTTACATGAGGAGTTTCAGGTGGGAGTGTTACTCAATAAAATTCAATCACATGGCAGAAGCTCAGTTGGATTAAGCATGTTGACCTGGTTGTGACAAACTGCTGAAGTTCAAATCAATCAGCATCAGAATGGGGAAGAAAAGTGACTTTGAACAGATGGTCTTAAACTGGTTTCTTGAATATCACAAAGAGCTGACTGTACTAAAATGACCTCCACAGTCACCAGATTTCAGTCACATAGAGAACATTTGGGATGGAGTGGAAAAGGAAATTTGCATCTTGAATGTGCAGCTGAATGTTTTTGCAATTTCCATTAAAGCTGATTTTCCCTTTGCACATTGTCCTCAGTGTTTGAATAATCCAGATTGAGGTATCCTAGATACTGTAGATCCTGAAAGAAGTTAGCTGTGAGGTGCTCAGGAGCCTTAAGGCTTTTTTTGGTGTGTTGGGCAGATAAGAGAAAGGGTTTTTGTACTGACTTTACAGTGAACTGCAGCACTGTGGCGTTTGGCAGCACAGAAATACACTGCACTGTCATTTAACTTTAGATTATAGATGGTGAGGGCTGACTTTTTACGGCCATCTCCATCAAAGCTGATATTTCCACTCAGATTTTCTTTTTTTTGCCACCTGGATGTTGAGATTTCCCAGAATCTCCAAAGTTTGATGTTGGTCTTGTTTGTACCAGAGAATGACCTGATAATTTGGTATGCTATGTCAACATTTGATTTCACTTTGAACAGATTCACCAATTCTCCTAATGATGGAAGGAGGTGTTTGGTAGACACTTTTTCGCATCACCTGTGTAAAAGTACACAAGAGTTTAAACACAGAAATCATTAAATTTGAATTGTATTGTTATCATTGTCATTTTCCTACCTGTAATTCCTGGAAAGTTAAGAAAACAAAGTATAGAAACCACAACGATCATCTTAAACAATTCAAGCTAGCGATCCTTTCAGTATAGTTGGTTCACCAGCTGTAGATGAGAATAGATCGCTGTTACCAGATGATGACCATAGGAGGTGTAAGGAGTTGTCTACGTCATTGCTTTAACTAGAAGAGAAAAGTGCTGTCATCATACGACAGTCTGTGCAAGTGATTATTTCATTTATTGAGGTCTGTCTCCACCTACTGTGGTAAGGGCACTGCAAATGAAGTAGATTCCTCTTTCTTTAGAAACTAACTAGTGTGGCTGATTATTCAGCTCAGTGGATCTCCTTTTATTTTATTTTAGTTTGACTGGATCTGAAAAAAAAAGGTTAACATGACCAGAAGTGGACACTTTAACTATCATATAGTAAAGCATTTACAATTTTAAACACTTGCTAATTATTTCTCTTTCATACATTTAAGGCACAAATATCATACATTTGTCTTTTTGTCTTGTACAATTAAAAGCTATAGAGACATGTTTTTGATTTATAAAGTCAGAATATAAAGAATAACTGTCACAGATAAAAAGCTGCAGGTGCATGTATTGTGTGGTGGGTACCACAGTAGAGGAGATTAGTAGGTAAGACTTTGTGACAGTGTGGTGGGGTTTTTGTTCAGCTACTTGGTGCATCTGTATCACTGTGTTTGCTCACAGCACAGAAATACAAGCCTTTATCTGTAGGCTCCAGATCCTTCACTGTGAACGTCCCAGTGTAAGCGTCAGGCTTGGTGGCTGCGAATTTCTCCCTGCTGAAATTTCCAAAATCATGATCAGGTTTTGCTGTACTTGTGAACACAACGAGTTTCATCGTTTCTCCAGGCAGCTGTCTGTACCAATACATCTGAGAATAAGTATAATCCTTTGTGTGGTTGCAGTTTATTGTTGCATCCTCATCCTGTTTTTTCCAAATCATGGAGGTCTGGGTGACATCACTCCCATCACCTGCGAGTTTAACAGAAGATATTACCGCACGCAACCTTTTATATGTAGCACAGTTTTACATTGAAACACTCTGAAAACAAAACATTCACAACAACTGCAAAAACATTAAAAATGTTGATCAGACTGCAGATTACCTGAATCCCACTTTAAAATAAAGAATAATCCGAGGATGACTTTGTTGAGAACTGTATTCATGTTCTGTTGGACAAAAGGTGTCAGCATCATCTATACTGTAGGTACAGAGATATGTAAAGCTGCTGGTGAGACTGTCCCTCTAGATTATATTGTCCCCAGATTCTGAGGAACTGCTCTATATGTAGCAAGACTTTCAGTCCAACTGCAGATGTAATATAATTGGTACTCTGGTTCCCCCTACAGTCCATCAAAGCCATTTTACTTATGTTATCATTCGAAATTCATAAAAAAGAAACTAATATCTTGTAATTAAAAAATAAATAAATACTGTCTGCTGTTACTTTTATGTTGCTATGGGTTTTCTAGCTGTGAAATAAAAGTTTACACAGCAGTCCTTCTGTGTTTTACTCAAATCACAGTGACTAAATAGGATCAGTTGAAAGGGTGGTGAAGGTATTTTTAATAATATCCTCAAGCAAAACAAATGCATGGCTTCATGGATTCAATCTTCCTTTTTTGTTTTTGTCAGGATGGGTTATCAGAGAAAATTACTTGATATTGCAGTTTTTTAATACACTCATTTATTATAACAATACAGTATTGTTGTTGTTTTTTTATTTACAAAAGCTATACATAGCAGTGTGAAAACTGTTTCCTGTCTCCCTTTCACCGTGCTGTCCACTTGATCAGTTGTCTCCTCTTTGCTGCACCACTAACTAAAGCCACTTAAGTCATTTACCAACATATATCTGCATGTAGTTTATGGATTAATAACTAAAAGAGACGGTTTGGTCCAGTAGATGGCGCTGTTTACATATTTTTACACAAAGTGTTGGAAAATGGAATGAAATCCTGAATGTTGTTTTCTAAACACCCTGCTCGGTCGATCTGCCTTTTAAATCATAGTCTCTGTGGACTTTGCTTGTGTGTCTAAAAAGATAAAACAAGCTGTCCATAGACAAATGAGAACACATCCTTTACAAGCTGACTGAGTTCTGGCTCTGTTTTTGAGTTATTAGAAACTGACTTTGAATAGACAAGTACAGCATTATTCATTTCCATTTTATTCTGACCCCCTGCTGTTTTAAAAGCCAAACTTGTCCTCTAATCTCCTGGTCTCACTCCCTCTGCAGTTCCTGCGAGTCAAAGTGGATCGTGTTGGATCACATATTTATCCTCAGAGCTGTGGTTGGTTTTCAGGCATATTACAAATATACACAATTCAGAGACATGTGAGATTTTGCACACAAATAATGAATTGTAAGGCTGCACCGCTGAGAATCCAACTAAGAAAGGCTCCATAGGAGATCAGGTACAGATGGTGCCTTAAACTAGGCTGAACATTTAAAAGTACAATTTTTAGATAAGCAAAAACATCTAATTGGCTCACTACAAAACCATTTTTAAGAATTACAATAATCTCATTTGCTACCTGATATTAAGTTACGATATAACTAGCAGATTTATGGAAATAACAAGAGGGAAAGAAGTTACAAGAACTCTGTTAAACATTTTGGACATGCTGGAAGTGTTCTAACTTTCTTGTTTGCCAGGCAGTGTGTCACGGTACACTTGTGTGTTAAAATTAAAAAAAGAGGCTTGGTTGATGGTGTGGAAATAAATCCAGCGTTTTTACAAGCTATAAACTATGCAAAGAATGTGTTGCAAACTTTTTCCACTATTCCCACAATCTCCCCCTAGTGCTTTTACAAAATAACAACACAATGACCACAAAATGCCTCATACATGCAGGATAAATATAAACTATAATCTACTTTTAATATCATTTTTTTAGTGTCGTTTTGCTGGAGAGCCTAAAGAAGTAAGGTAAAAGTAAGAGTCAGAACCTGTACCTAATGGACTTACATTTTGGTGCTCTGAGTTTGAATAATTATCATTTTTGAGCTCTGAGTATTAAAATGTCTTTGCATAAATAATATCTGTGCGTGCTTTGAGTAACAGCAATTGCATTGATAAGATGGTTTGGCGTTTGTGGTTTTCTTGTTTTGTGTTAAAGATTTGTTATTTAAAAGTAAATTTTCAATGCTGTGAGCACCAGATTTATATTCAAAACAGTTTTCTAGCATATTTTTTGTTGCTTTAAATTGAATTGACTCATTACACACTGATTATTGACCAGCATCAATCAAAACTGACACGTTGCTCAGGTGAAAGTGTTGAATACAGTCTTATTGTGCAACGGGATGCCCTCTGCTCCTCTGAACTCCTCTGCGATGTCATCAAATGTACGACCCTTTGTTTCCGGGAGGCGAATCCAGGTGAAGGTGAAGGCGAGCAGAGCCACGATCATAAAAAGGAGGTAGACATAAGCACCACAGATTTTCTGTGTGAGACAGACAGACAAGAATCCTTTTTTTAATGTTTTTATTTGACCTCTGATTACCTAGGAATGGTCACTTGAGATGGGAATCTCATACCACAAGAGCAAAACAATGTTAAAAAGAGAAGGAAAGAAAGCAAATACAAAAGGTATTGATTTGGTTCACTGGTCTTAATTTCATGTTGGCTGCCGTTTCTGCTGCACTATAGGGAACAGATGCTTCTTTTGTTAACTGTAATTTAATTACTTATTACATTATTTCAAGCTGGATTTAAAGGATTTAGCAATAGATTTATATGTTTTGCTATAGATACAGATGTGCAGTATAACAGATGGAGCAGATTTATAGCCTGTATTTAACAGCTATTTCTCTGAGGTGTAAGCAAACTCACAAAAGCAAACAAGAAATCCACCTTTAAAGTTTCCCCTGAAGTCTTGCTTGGTCATACAGCATGCAGGCCAACGGTATAAATGTTACGCACCAGTAATGGAGGAAAGAGAAGTGCCAGAACAAACTTCCCTCCCCAGTTGAGCAGGCTACTGAAAGCCATGGCTATAGGTCTGCCAGACTGGTCGAACAGCTCGGCAGCAATGAACCAGGAGATCGGACCTGGGCCCAGCTCATAGGCTGAAGTCAGGCAGAAAACCAGCAGCACTTGTAGGCTTCTGAGTTCTGGGACCAGATGCTACACAGTAAAATAATAAATTGGAAGGATGGTTGTAGGTTAGTCATGTAGACATGTAGAAAATTCTGTTAGGTTAACATGTAGATGGTGTCTTTCTCTCTATTGTTTAAACTTGAAGCTTCCTTTTCAAACATCCTCCAAGCTATGCCATGGTTTATTTTTCATATTATCCATTTAATCATGTCATAAGATCGGGTTCCACGGTTTGCAGAAGTTGGATATACATTCAAAACCAGCACATAACTTTTTTCTGCACAAATGGAAACAACCACACATAGATGATTTTACCAGGACAGAATCGACTACGGTCATGATTAAGTTGCACACTGCTATGGAGATGAAACCAGTCAGGAGCAACCGCCTCCTCCCTGCCCTCTCCATCAGGAAGAACTGGAGAGGAAAAAACAACACACTGGTATTAAAATGCAACACTATCCCTTTTCTGGTTCATGCTGTTAAACCATTCATGAAGAAATAATGACAAAACTTCATGCTTTCTGTGACAAAATCAACAAAATAGGGCACAGCTGATTTACTGATTATATTGAGCAACCTATTAAATATAAGAAATAATATCGTTTCGCATTCAAAAACACACTGAACTGCAATATAAAGGATCAGCACTTGGTTTGTACTTACTGCTACCAAAGTGAACGTCAGATTGACGGCCCCAACACCCAGTGTGAGATATTTGGCCTGGTCAAACTTGGCCTGAAACATTTTGGTGGAATAGTTGATTATCTGGAAGAAAAGCACAGGAATTTAGTTTAGTTTAGTGAGTAACTGAGAAATATTTCAATGGGTTTTTTTTAGGGTTGAGATATTGCCTCAAGCTCTTCTCAGGGTTACAGCAAGTGTGCAAAACTGAAAAAGAAAAGAAGCCAATGTAGAAATGCCAAGTACTCCTTGAGGCAGCCTCCAAAAGTGAGTAAGCCTCCTTTCCATCCAGAGGAAAGAAGCTAAAAATCCCCACAAAAGGGATGGGTGTCTTCATGTGAGATGGAACTGGCCAGTCTCTGCAGCTGTCAGGTACAGAGAGACTGGTAAATAGCAGCTTAACCTGATCAGTTTGCCTGATCAGTTCATATTTTGCATCAGTTTGTTGGTGTCTTTCAGAGTTAGGTTACCATAGCATGACACCAAGGAAAAAGGTCAAGCTAAAGTTGAGGCCAGGAGCTTTTACTTCATCTATTTCAACACATAGAAAAAGAGAAATATATGTCAGAGAAATATTTTTCAGATTAAGAGGATTTTATCACTGACCGCATTGAATCCAGAGAGCTGGCTTCCCAGGCTAACAATCAGGACAATAATGATCGGTTGCCTGTAGCTGCGTTTCTTGAAGAAATCCTGGATGGTGACACGACTCTGTGTGTGAGCAGCTTCCTCTTTCATTTCTTCCAGCTCAGCAAATACATTTTCTGCTCTGCCTCTCAGCCTCAGCAGGGCTGCAGGATTAAAGAAACACCTTTCAACATATTCTAAGGGGATGTTTAGGTGAAATCCACAAAGCTGGGATAGTAAACCATAGTAAACCATTTCTGCATTTTAACTTCTGGAACCAACTTGAGAATGTCATACAAATGAATTCATCTCTTTTAATATATCATAATACAAAAGAGTAATCTCTTTAGAGAGAGGATGATTTATTAAACGATATGAACAGTAAGTCCAGTGAGTGGAACCTACCACTTTTGGCCTTGATTTCTTCTTGCCGGTTGATGAGCAGATAGCGGGGACTCTCAGGACAGAAGGGTAGGATCACATACTGTGTGAGGGCCGGGATGAGAGACAGGGACAGCATCATGGCCCAGTCATGCTCTGTGCCCAACACTATCTCGAGACCAGCCACCTGCAGCACACGAGCAGCTAGTTTCATGTCATATCCATGTATTGTATAAATCCTTATTTGTGTATTATGGGATTTTGAGGAACTTAAATAAAAACAACAGATTTTGAATGAAAACAATGGAATTTGAATGGAAAAAAAGAGTAGAATTAGAATGAGAAGAACAGCATTGGAATAAAAACAAAAGAATTTGAATGAAAACAACGGAATAAGAATGAAAATAACGGAATTTCAATGAAAACAAAAAAAATTGAATTGAAGCACCGGAATTTGAATGAAAAGAACGGAATTAAAATGAAAAGAACAGAATTAGAATGAGAAGAATCGAATTTGAATGAAAACAACGGAATGTGAATGAAAAGAACAGAATTGAGAGCAAACAAGAATTAGAATGAAAAGAACAGAATTTGAATGAAAAACAGAATTGAATGAAAAGAACGAATTTGAATGAAAACAAAAAAAATAGAATGAAAACAGGAATTTGAATGAAAAGAAAGATTTGAATGAAAACAAAGAATTAGAATGAAAAGAACAGCATTTGAATGAAAAACAAACGAATTAGAATGAAAACAACGAATTGAATGAAAAGAACAGATTTTGAATGAAAACAAAAGAATTAGAATCAAAAGAATGAATTTGAATGAAAAATGCAATTTGAATGAAAACAAAAGCATTAGAATGAAAGCACGGAATTTGAATGAAAACAGGAATTAAATGAAAAGAAAATATTAGAATGAAAGAACAGAATTTGAATGAAAACAATGGAATTAAATGAAAGACAGAATTTGAATCAAAACAATGGAATTTGAATGAAAACAACGAATTTGAATGAAAAAAAGAATTAGAATGAAAAAGAGAATTTGAATGAAAACAACAGAATTAAATGAAAAGAACAGATTGAATGAAAACAAAAGAATTAGAATCAAAAGAATGGAATTTGAATGAAAAGAACGAATTTGAATGAAAAAACAGTATTAGAATGAAAGAATCGAGATTTGAATGAAAACAACGGAATTGAATGAAAAGAACAGAATTTGAGAACAAACAATAGAATTTGAATGAAAAAAGATTAGAATGAAACACAGAATTTGAATGAAAACAACGAATTAAAATGAAATGAAAAGAATAGAATGAAACAGATTTGAATGAAAACAAAAAAGAATGAATGAAAACGGAATTAGAATGAAAACAACAGAATTTGAATGAAAAGAACAGTATTTGAATGAAAACAAGAATTAAATGAAAACAACACGTATTTTCTCTCAACAGGTGATCCAGGAGATTTTTTTCTCCCCTCCCTTCTCACTGTCCCTCTCCCCTTCTGTTTTTCTTTTCCTTCCTCTTTCTTTCTCCCTTTCCTATCCCTCACTCATGTCTGTCCCGTCTGTAACAACTGAAAATAAAATAAATAATAAAAACAAAGGTCGATCAAATGGACCAATACGGCAATGCCATGATGATCCATTTGGCAAAATAAATCCATTGGGCTTTCTGTAAATCCAATAAACTTCATTTCACTTCTCAAATATCACTGTGTGTGTCTCCTATATGATATATTTAACTGACATTTTTTATTGTAACAACCAAAACAGGAAAATAAGGACTATTAACAAGGTTACCCAGACTTTTGCATCCCACTGTACACACACACAAAATATGTGTTTGTGGGATCAATTCTAAACTATAGTGACAGTCTCACCTGCAGCCAATAGGACATGGATACTGTTTTCATCAAACAGGTAGTCCTCTGATTATTCTTCATTTTCAAGTGGACTTCAGGTCATTCATAATCTGATGAACATATTCATATTTTTCCCAATAATGTAAGAGTTCCAGGGGTTTTCAGAGTGTTTCAATGGAAAACTGTGTCAAATATATATCGCATGTAGTAAACGTTTGTGTTAAACTCACAGGTCTGTCACAGAGACTCCATAATCTAGGGGAAAACACAGGGCAAAGATGCAACGATCAGCTAAAACCACATCAATTCATCGTTATAAAATTAATTGTGTTCACCAGTTATAATGTTTACCGTTTTAGATACAGTCCCACTGAAAAGAAACAAAAGGAATACATGTGTTGAATTAATAATCAGCAGCACACCGAGTCAGTTTCTATAGAAGGCTGAGTGCCAGAATCTAACGCCACATGGCTTGTGCTCCATTTACAGTACCCTCACTCCAGTAGGTGGAGACAGACCTCAATAAATTAAATCTTCACGCCCACAGATTGTCGAATGACAACAGTGTTTTCCACTGCTAGTTTAAGAAATGAAGTAGAAACCTGCTGACACCTCCCATGTGCATCATCTGGTAACCGCGATCTATTCTCATCCAAAGCTGATGAACCGACTATACTGAAAGGAAAGCAGAGATAAATCGTTTAAAATGATCATTGTGGTCACTATATTTTGTTTTCTGCACTTCCCAGAAATTACAGGTAGGGAAAACAACAATAATTATAACAATACAATGATTATAACATAATGATTCCTGTATTTAAACACCGTTTTTCCACAGGTGCATCTGACACAAAAAGTCTCTCCCAAACACCTCCTTCCATCATTAGGAGAATTGGTGAATCTGTTCAAAGTGAAATCAAATGTTCACACAGCATTAAAGATTATGAGGTCATTCTTTGGTACAAGCAAGACCAACACCAAACTTTGGAGATCCTGGGATATGTCAACCTGCAGTTCGTGAATAAAGAAAGCAATCCGAGTGGAAATATCAGCTTTGACGGAGATGGCCGTAAAAAGTCAGCCCTCACCATCTATAATCTAAAGTTCAGTGACAGTGCAGTGTATTTCTGTGCTGCCAAACGCCACAGTGCTGCAGTTCACTGTAAAGTCAGTACAAAAACCTATTCCCTTATTTGCCTGACAGAACAACAAAGTGCTGGGGATCCTGAGCACCTGCAGCTACCCTTCCTTTCAAGTTTGAGTTTGTTAAATTCATGTTCAATTAAATATGATATTTTAAATACACAGTAATTTGCTTTAGCAATGCTCTCTATGCACTTCAAACAAGTTGAAAAAAACTTCCTTTCTGAAGCTGGAAACATTTGTGTCAGGTAATCCGCGTTTTGAATGTTATCAAATCTGTCTTGATCTAGAGAACTGGTAGTCCATGAGGAATTCTGTATGCACTGTGGTGGGACCTCTTATCAGCTGATACTGTATTTCTGTTCTGCGTTTCAGGGACCAATGTGCAACATCTGTATAAGACAGACATTCATTTTCATCACAAAGTGGCATCTATGATCCCTCTGCACGTATGAATCGTGCATCAAGAATAGTTTACACAAACTCATTTTTACTAGTTGATAAATGCAAGTCAGTCAGTGGATACAAAACTAAATGATTCAGTAAAATATAGAAAGATAACTTTAGATACAGATTTAAATGATTGTGGTCTGATCTCACATGAGTAAAAGGAATATCGATGCTGAAGTGACTACAAACAAAGGGGACACAGGGGAAAGATAATGATTTTTACACCCCCAGGGGGAGACAAATGTCAGCAAATGAAATAAGGTAGCAAACATATTGCACATGCCCAAAACCACAATATCTACACATAGCCTGCAGATAAAGTCAAAGCTTTGGTTTCATATCTGTCATCCATTAACTGTGATGTGCTTCACAGGAGAGGAATGTTCAACATGATCTCCACAGTCTTCATTCTCTTTTTCTTTCAGCTGATGGGGGATAACGGTGAGTATTCTAAGATCAGGAAATCATCACAGAGCTGGTAATTTCATTTCTAAAATAATCATGTGTTATTTTATTCCCAACAGGAGTTTCTAGCACCTACAATGTCCTGCAAACACCTCCTTCCATCATTAAGAAAGTTGGTCAATCTGTTTCCAGTGAGATCCACTGTTCACACAACGTGTCAATTTTTGAACGGATTCTCTGGTATAAACAAGACAAACACAGAGCTCCACAGTTCCTTGGATACCTAAATCTGAACTTTCCCTACCCCGAGGAGGATGTGAAAGGAAAAATCAGCTTTAACGGAAACGGCAAAAAACATTCAAACCTGACCATTTCTAATGTTTCAGTGACTGACAGTGCTGTGTATTTCTGTGCTGCTAGTCAGCACAGTACTACAGATCCAACTGAAGTCAATACAAAAACCTCTCCCAATGTCTATGACACAGATTAATATCTAAACACCTGCAGCCAGTCTGCAACTAAACCTAGCCTCAGAAAAAAGTCACTGACAGCTGCCTGGAGAACTAATGAAACAAATGGCGTTTACTACTGCAAGCTCTGAAAATGACTTTGAAACAGACTTCATGAATAAAAGGTTCTCAGCCATCAAGCGTGATGCTCACAGTGGGACACTGATAGTGAAGAATTTGGTGCCAGGTGATCAAGGCTTGCATTTCAGTGCTGTCTGTGAACACAGCGATACAGCCACACTCAACACCTGTACAAAAATCTCACATAATGAACTGTAGGGGGATGTCAAGGACCACAAATACTCACAACTGACGTTAGAGATACCACAGATCAAAGAGCTCCCCACAAAGCAGTGACACTCCCACCTGAAACTCTTGATATCAACATAAATTCAAACTGTCATTTATTCATGTGCTCCCATCTTCTACAACATGGACATTTTCATATATTGTCACCTCACTTTTTTGGTATTTCTGCTTTGGATCAAAGGTGAGATGTACTGAGATCTCATTTATGCTGTTACTTATTTTAGGGACGGCAGAAACAAATAATCATAATTAAAGGCTTTATACTTAAACATCTGCATTATTAACCAAACTGTTCTACACACACAGGTCTAATTGATGCCAAGGATGTCACACAAACTCTCATGCTGTGGGAACAACGGGGTAATAATGCAACAATGGACTGCAGCCATACCAAGGGTCCTACCTATTATCAGATGTACTGGTACAGACAGCTGCCAGGAGAAAATATGGAACTGATTGTGTTCACAACAACAGCCAAAAAATATGATCACGACTTTGGAAAATTCAGCAAAGAGAAATACTCAGCCACAAAGACTGAGGCTCACGATGGGACATTTACAGTGAAGGACCTGGAGCCAAAAGACAGCGGCTGGTATTTCTGTGCCGTCAGTGAGCACAGTGATACAGACTCATGTGAAAGCTGAACAAAAACCCCACTGAATGGTTGGCACAAGTGTTGCAATTATTCCCTGTACTGTAGGGGGACCTCAAGTACAACTACACATCAGAATCGTATGAAGCTTTTCAACCTCCCACCACACACATTCAGTTTAGGTTCCTCTGAACAGGATGATGATCACAGCTGGTCTGATCAAACTCTCTTCAGCTCTAGCTTCATTGGAGGTACTGTCCACTATGATAGTGATCTGTACTTTTCACTCTGCTCACCCCACAGGAGTTTCTAGCACCTACCATGTCCTGCAAACACCTCCTTCCATCATTAAGAAAGTCGGTCAATCAGTTTCCAGTGAGATCCACTGTTCACACGATGTGTCAACTGTTGATTGCATTCTCTGGTACAAACAAGATGAACACAAAGCTCTAAAGTTCATGGGATACCTAAACGTGGAATATCCAAACCACGCAGATAATGTGAAAGTGAAAATCAGCTCTGATGGAAATGTCAAACAACATTCAAACCTGACCATTTCTAATGTTTCAGTGACTGACAGAAACATGTGCATTGGGCTCAGTATAGTATTACAGCTCCACTAAAGTCAATACAAAACCTTACCTAATGTCTCTGAGGCAGATTAATATCTGAACACCTGCAGCCAGTATGCAACTAAATCTAGCCTTAAGGTTTTGAGAGTTTCAAGACAGATTTGACCCCATTTGAAGACATGTTGCTGGCTTAGATTAAACCTTAAGCGTTGTTATAATCGTTGGAAGAAGCAGGGAATTAATTTTGATCAATTGTTAAAGTCACACACATAATTGTGTTTCCTGCCACCATGCTAGATGTCTTGTCCTCTGAAGAATTTAACAGTCAGGAATATAAACACAAGCTCGTGAACTGTAGGGGGATGTCAAGCACCACAAATGCTCACAACTTCTCTTTGATTCAGGATCACACAGCATGGCACAAAGCAGCGACACGCCCACCTGAAACTCTATATGTCAATGTAAATGCATACTGCCATTAACTCATGCATCTCCAACAACATGGACCTCATCAAGCATGGTCAGCTCAGCTGTTTGACTTTTCTTCTTTGGATGAAAGGTGGATTAGACTAAGATTTCATTTACATAAGGTATATATGGTTTAACATTGTACTTTTAAAAAAATGTCATTATTAACCAAACATTTATAAACACACAGGTCTAACTGATGCCAAGGATGTCACACAAACTCCCATGCTGTGGGAACAACAGGGTAATAATGCAACAATGGACTGCAGCCATACCAAGGGTGCTTTCTATGTCCAGATGTACTGGTACAGACAGCTGCCAGGAGAAAATATGGAACTGATTGTGTTCACGACAACAGCCAAAAAATACGATCACGACTTTGGAAAATTCAGCAAAGAGAAATACTCAGCCACAAAGACTGAGGTTCATGATGGGACATTTACAGTGAAGAACCTGGAGCCAAAAGACAGCGGCTGGTATTTCTGTGCCGTCAGTAAGCACAGTGATACAGACTCATGTGAAAGCTGAACAAAAACCCCACTGAATGGTTGGCACGAGTGTTGCAATTATTTCCTGTACTGCAGGGGGACCTCAAGTACAACTACAGATTGGGAAATCGTATGAAGCTCTTTAGCTTCCCACCACACACATTCAAGTTTAGGTTCTGAGCAGGATGATGATCGCAGCCGGTCTGATCAAACTCTTTTCAGTGCTTTGTCTGCATATACGAGCCCTCCACATACATGACCGCATGAAAAGCCATTCACAGAAAATTATAAACTCATATTCACAGGCTGATTAACTCTTTCAGTGGATACAAACATAATTAATCAATAAAATAAAGAAAGATACATTTAGTTACAGGTTTAAATGACCGGTTAATGATATGACATACAGAACGATATACAGTCATGTGAGAAAATTAGGACACCCTATGAAAGCCTGTATATTTTAAAATATATTTGGCCATATGGATATTTAATACCAATTTTAATGATACTGAGGGATTCAAACAATATAACTAAACAATTAAAAAAATAAGAAAAGCCTTTTTAAACTTCATGTGAAATGTAATTTAAAAAGAATGCAATTTTTGGTGAGGAATAAATTAGGACACCCCCACATATTATCCCACTTAAAATGGTTAAAATCACACACAGGTGTATCACATCAGGTGCACATTATCAGTACATCGTTAACCAGCATTTTAAAGGAGCCTTGCCTTATTTAAACCTCAGATTTAGTTTAGTGTGCTCCTGACTGTTGAAGTGTTGAAGTGAGCGCCATGATGAGATCTAAAGAGCTGTGTGATACCCTCAGAAAGAAGATTCTGGCTGCTTGTGAGTCTGGTAAGGGACTTAAAAAGATCTCAAAAGAATTTGACATCAGCCATTCCATCTATCCGGAAAATTGTTTACAAGTGGAGGACATTCAAAACAACTGCTAACACGCCCAGGTCTGGCCGTCCAAGCAAATTCAGCCCCAGAGCAGACGGCAAGATGCTCAAAGAAGTCATCAAAAATCCTAAAACGTCATCATGGGAACTACAGCAGGCTCTGGCTACCATTGATGTGAAAGTGCATGACTCTACTATCAGAAAGAGACTACACAAGTTTGACTTTCACGGGAGGTGTGCAAGGAGGAAATATTTTTCTTAGAGAGCAAAGGTTAAGGCCAGACTGAAGTTTGCCAGAGCGAACACAGACAAAGACCATGACTTCTGCAATAATGTTCTTTGGACAGATGAGTCTAGAATTGAATTATTTGGACACCAGGGCCCTGTTTCAGGAAGCCGGTTTAG